GTCAGCGTCCGCAAAAGTAGACCCCTCTTTCCAGTAACTTCACCATGAGTAAAAAAAGATACATGTGCCAGCTCCGGTCAGTTCTATCTCAGATGGGTTATTAAATACATAACATGTATATCTACTCTCTGTGCCCTCTGTTTCCAATCATTCAATCAAGATAAATACTCTGCATTCCTTTAGGTGCCAGACACTGTACTAAGGAGACCAAACAAGGCACGTGTTCCCAGCCTCACAGAATACCCCACAGGATGCGGCTTGATTCGACCCCGATTTCTCACCCACACTATTTCAAAGTCTTCCTTGTCAACCCGCCCTCCCTGTCTCAGATCTTTCTTCACCGTAATCCGTTCTCTATTCAGCATCCTTAGTCCTATGAAATGGCAAATCTGACCCCATCACTCTCCAGTTTAGAATACCTCACTAGTTCTCCACTTTTCCTGAACCGGCATGACGTGTAACGCCCCTCGTGGATGGTCTTTGCCATACTGCCTGTCTTTGATGTCTCTACAATCTTCCCTATACACGCTGATCTCTCCGCACGCAGTAGCGTCACCAACGCCCTCGAGTGCACTATAAACTCAAGTTGTTTAAGCTCGAACAGCGCCTTCATCTAGAAACCTCCCCTCGGCATCTTAGGAAGAGCCTGGAGTTTCCTGCTCTGTGGTCTTCAGGTATCTCTGAGCCAACGAAAAGTCACGTGGAAGGACAGCGCCTTCCTAATAAAAGCAAAGGGCCTAACATAGCACCTCAAAAGGGCTGGCTCCATACGTTTCATAGCGACATTGTATTCCTGTCACTAAACTTACCCTGACTTTGGGGGCAGCGGCTCGAAATTTCACGTAAAACAGCGTGAAGGCATTGGGTGTGGAGGAAGGATCCTGCAGAAACACGGGGAGATGGGGAGGGAAGATGGTTAGCAAACAAGCGAGTACTCAGAAAACGTGATGCAAACCATTTCAGACAGCTACTGCTCAGAAAGTCTCAAGGCGAGATTAAATGTTGTTATTGCCACAAGAGAGAAATACTTATAAGGAACCGTCACCGTTCTCCTCTTTATAATTAAAATTTACCCTAGGTTACATGAATTTTACAGTAAACACAGCTGAATTCAGATTCATACTCAGTCATTGACTGAGGGTAGGACACTGGCCAAATCACTTAACCTCTGGGATTCAGGGCTCCCATTGAGTGGTGATCACATATACACATAAAGACTTCATGCAACTCCAGTAAAGCACTATATATAGTAGGTAGTAGTACTTATCAGGTATTAGTTTCTTAAACTTATTAAAAATTTTACAAAATAGAAAAATTATATAGTCTGGCTGTTATGTCAGCTAAGAGCAACGTGAACGATAAAATGCAACCCAGAAATCAGTGGCTTTGAATGGAAAGCTCAAGAAGATATTCCACGTTCCTTAGAAAGTAAACTTAAAAAAATGCACAATACTCATGGCTTCACGTTCTCGATGACCGTCCCAGGTGGCTCCACTCTTACTGGCCAACCTGACACTGCACTAGTTTTCCACCTGGCATCTACTACAGCTTGTAACTGATTAATCTGTTTCCTTCTTTACTGACCATTTCCCCTGAATATAAACTCCGCGAAGGCAGAGACCCTGCCCGCTCCTGTTCACTACCGTATAATTCCTGGGACAATGCCCAGCACTCAGGAGTGCTCAGTAAAAGGACATTTGCTAAACATAGAAAATTATCCATCCTATAAGGAAAAATATTCAAATTACCTATCACGTGAAATCTCACCACTCGGACAGAACCACTTAGATTATTTTGGTGTATTTCCGTCTAATATTTTCGTGGAAAAGATAAGAAAATGTTTGAAGTGACGAATAGTTTCGATCTTGCTTTATTATTTATCATACACTACTGAATACTCTTCACGCTGTTATACATTTTTTGAAAATAAAGACTGATGGACAGATATAATACAGCCGTTTTCCTATTACAAATGAAACTGCAATGCCTATTCTTATTAACAAAAGGTAAAAAAAGAATTTTGTAGTTACCAAGTACTACTCTCAGACCAAGATCATAGAAGATAAAAAAAAGAAAAACCCTCACCAGTTAACTCACCCTTTTTAATAACTGATTTGTGAGGTTCTGTAGTGTGTTCACAGTATATATCTTCATGAGGTGCAAAGCTTTCGAAAGACATTGCTTAAACTTCAGTAAATATACAGGATAATCTTTAAAATTAGGCTGTAAAGGAAAGGAAGATTTACAAAGAGGAAACAAATGCCGACAAACTTTTAATGAAAATCGACACATCTTTTATATGAAGCTACGGATAAATTCAAAAGGTCTTCTGTAGGCCAAAAGTGCCATGAAGACGAACACTGCGACTGACTTGGTGACAGCCAAGTCCCTTGTGCCTGGCACCAAGTAAAAGGGCTCAATAAATATTTGCCGTTTTTAGCAAAATATATGTTCAGTACTCCACAGACTTCAAGTAATATGTCA